AAGCCTATGGCAAAAGCAACTTTAGCTTTGGCATGATAGAAACATAATCGCTTTAATAAATAACCGTGGAGATATTTACGAGAAAACACCCTTGTATTCATCATTGCTTATCTCATTTGATAATCATGACTTTTATGCTCGAATATATAGTTGGGAGATGTCTCGTTTCATTAGATGTGGATATATCTGTAACCACCTTGAAATTGGCACGGATTAATAACAGCTTACAAAATATTTCTCCAAATTTTATTGATTTTGCAATGATCAATGGTTGTAGCAAGGTATTCCATTCTTCAAATGATAGAGATCTTTATGATTTTGGCGAGACATTGTATGAAAGCAGCTAGTGTAATGGCAGTTGGGTAGACAATTGTTGTCTATCATTTATGGTTAACCTCGAACCATATTGTTAGAAGAAAATTGAAAGTATAAATAAAATTATAGCCAATATCATAGTTATTAAAAAAAAATTTCTTAACTATAGACTCAATGAACGTCTTTATTTTTACAATTTTATTGCTTCATTAAAATAAAAATTAACTGAGTAGCATAATAGTTCTTCGTCACACGTTACAGTAAAAATATTAATATATAATTAGGCAAGCATTTTATATTAAGAGATTAACATTCTCTACTAGTATACATAGCAATTTACGCATACTATAAATAATGATCATTACTATTAATCATTAATATTTTTTTTTTTTTTTTTTTTATAGAACAGATATATTTAATATAACCTTGTTGATTTTAAGTTTGTAGAAAATTTTATATTGATTTCACTATTCTGCTCGTTTACTTGGTATTAACAATTTTTTTTCGTATTAATATTTATTGATTTAATAATAATATTAATAATAATAATATACATATTCGTCAATATAATACTAGTTTCATTACCAGATAGAAAAGAATTTTATAGACGTTTAAAAAATTCATATCTGTAAAATTATTGTTTTGTCATAAAATTATTTACGACAGAAATATTAAATATTTTAAATATCTAATAACGATAAATTAATTTTCATACTGTTGTGACTGGTTTGGGTTGTTTAATATTTAAATAAATCTAAATTGTGCATTATTTATTTAATCATTCATTTGTTCTTGTATACAAATTTAGAAAGTAAATACATTATCTTGTCAAAGTTGTTATATGACAGATTAGGGCACATAGTTTCATATTTACATATATTAGAAATTTATATGATACCAATGATAATTTAAGCGTTTTTTTATCAGCTTTATCTTAACACTCGCAGAGTAAGTTAAACAATATTTTAAACAGCTATGTAATAGACAGCTAATACGTTACTAAAAGCTTTCATATATTGTATTGTATTCATATATTCATATATTGTACACTGGTCGTAAAAATGAAAAATTCGGCTCGAGTAGGTTTTAAATGATTTAACTGCATATTTACTGATAATATTTCTTCATCAAAACCTTAATGCTTAAAATGACAAAAAGGAATATTGTCTATCTTATACGTATGTTATACTAGTTTATACAAATAAATTAAAAGGCTTACCACTCACTTATTGATTTTAAATTTTTATAATCATCATTTAAAAATGCATTATCTAGTATTATAATTCAAAAATATTGGAGACAAAGACACAAAGTTCAGAATAACTTTTCATTATGTTATTAACTATAAATTATTTTGATGGCAGATGGCTGATAGATTGGATAAATTTCACGTAATTCGACAAACAAATTATTACAAACCAAATGATTTTAAATTAGCCACAGAAATTCTTTATTAATAATAATATGCAATCAAATTGGCAGTTTCCATTAAGAACACTTTTTTTCTTTACATGCTTTTTCACCTTTACATTGCCCATTATACTCGATACATATTCTAATTTATTATTTCTTATGTTATCTTCCTTTACTTTTTACTTTTGGTGTGTTAAGTTATGCAAGGAGCAAATGTATTTTGTTTCTCTACCGTGCGAATGCGATAAAACACTTGTGAAAGGATGCAGTGCATCCTTCGGTGATCCTAAAAATTTTCTTTTATCTGCCTCACCTCGTATTTTTTTGCATAGTGACGCGGCAACTAAGACCATTGAAACCGATATAAAGTTTTCTTCTTCATTGACAAGGCAATGGGATAATTATCTGTTCTTGCGGTAGAAGTTCACGTTCTATAGTTGAATTATACTCTGATTCAGCATAATTGGTATATTTGGTATAACTTATTTTAAAGCAACTTAATAAATAATAATAATTTTAATTCTTAAAAAATTTGAAATATCTTTATTCTAATTAATTACAAGTATACAAGTATTAGCGATTTAAAATAAATAAATTAATACTCAACTTACTTATGTCAACCTTATTCGTTCAATGGGCAGCAAAAGCAAATGTATTTACGTATTATATAAAATATTTACAATAATGTAGTTATAATGTGAAGACGAAATAATAAATTTAATAGTACAAATTGATTACTATAATTAAGTTATATGGCTTAACAGAAAAGCAATAAAAACTAAAATTTTACATTAATTATTATTGTAATGAATTATAACGAATAGAAATCTTCTCGCGAAAGCTCATTTATTCAATTTTTATTATATTTGTTATATTGTTAATGTGTCAGTAAACTCAGTTAAATATTCAACTTATTAATCAAAATTCTCTGAAGATATTGGTAATTATTAGAAACAGGGTATGCAAAAAACCACATGATTATCTGCTATTATTCATTTAAATTACATCGGTATAACCCTTTGTCACCTTCATCATTAAAAATATTTATCTCCGTGCATAAATCAGAATCGTCTTCTTTATGTTTGAATAAGATGTATTAAAATTGACAAACGTCGGAGTCATCCCCAAGTTACGAAATATCGGTTAGCGGAAGTCGCTGAAAGTCGATCGAGACTTAACTCGTTGTAAGACCAATTGAAACTTTATCCGGGCCACAGGATAATGCGTATAACGACATTCACGGCGAATATGCGAAAAATCTGTGCCAAGGCTCTTCGAAAGCCCACTTATTCTTGCGCTTACATTCGACTGACAAGTAAATATGAAAGTAGTGGTTGGATAGGCGGCGGAGGGGGGAGGGGGCAGTTAGGGGCGGGAAGGGAAGCATTGTTCCTTTGCGATGAACAAAAAGCAAGATAAATGAGGGACGTAAATTTACTGATCGTCGCAGCAAAAGAAAAATGTCGTAAAGGTAATGAAACGATCCAAGATACTCAGACATTAGGGTGTAAAATTAAGATTATCAGTTCAGAAGTTCGACTTTGCGCATATTCGTAATAATGTGAAAATCGTACGAGGGTTCGGTTCAAGGAAAACGAGACTCTCCGTTCGCCTCCCGTCCACTGCCACTTAAATTTACCCGCTTTTATTGTACTTACGTGTGCGTATATTTTCACTCGTATGATTTACTCTTATTTTATCATTATCGCTTTGCGAATGCTTCGTATCGTGAAGACAATGTTGTAACGGCGTGAGTGTAGCCGCGTTCTGTTTTTTCATTCTCTCCCTCCCCCCTGCCTTTTTTCTTCTTTTTTTTTTTTTTTTTAGTAAATCGACTGTTTCAAAGAAATATCACTTGCGAGAGCTGTGAGAAAGGTATCTCGCTGTTCTTGAGAAAAATTTTTTACGATCAAATATGTTTGGCGGTTTGTAACTATAAAACGGTTAGTTGATGTAACAAAACATTTGGTAGTCAAGTTCTTTCTTAAATATCGGTTATAGCTTTTTGATTGATGGAAGTTTTAAATTTGCCACATAAATGGTGCGTTGTTATAGGATACATTTATTTAATTCTATTGTATGTCTATACGAATTTATTGTTTTTAAATTTAAAAAGAAACATAGAGATAAAAAAATTTATTCAATATTTATAACTTTTAGTGGAAATGAAATAACGTATCGGCAATTGTATTGACGAGTAATTAAAATATCAGCAATCGAACAACTTCTCTTTGCAGTTGAATACGCGACTTCAATTATTATTTATAAATACCTTACAATAAACCTTCCATTGATATTTAAAATAAATATTTAGCACTTTTTAAGTATATAATAATAATATATACATACGTTATATATTAAGTTTATTATATAAATCAACACGTAATATGTGTTTTATTTTTTTCATATATGATACATATATTATTATTCAAAGATCTTTTTGTAGTCGATTTTACTTATTTTACTGCTAAAAATAACATTATATTAACTTTAAAAAATGAATGAATTTTTTTTTTCATTAAATGTTTTTAATAAATTCAAATATGTGATTAAAAATGTATATAATTTTTATGATTATATTATTTGAAATTACTTTTTAATCATATATATATAATAAGGAACGAATGTAGATATAAAACAAATATAATATTTTATGTATTAATTAATAAAGTTTTAATTGTTATCATAGCAAGTTGTCATATAAATATATTTATTAATAATGTGCTTATATTATATGTGGCTTTTTATGTATTTTTTAAAACCTACAATTATTTAAGTTTATATAAATTTATTCGACTAGAAATTTCAACAATATCGTTATAGTCTTTTTTCATTGTCATGAATTTTGAAAATAATAATGTAATTTAATTAATGTCGCTCTCAGTGTACTAAAAGAAAATATTTTATAGTTTATTTAAGTATATTAATTTGTATGTAATTAGGAAGTCTGTATTATTTATGTATTTGCTTGTATTTAGTAGGATAAACAAATATATAATTTAATCATTCGTGACGATTGTGCTCAGCAGCATTTTACATTCAAGAAAATGTTATTACATATTTACGTGAAAAAATATATCAACAAGAGTAGTGCGTAATATAATCTCTCAGAGATAATATCTAATTTTATTGGCGCCTGTGGCATTTAAATAGATATCTACTTTACCCGTATACGATAATATCATGAAAAAAATTAATCGAATTTTCACTTGGAATGCGCGTGCGCACGACTTTTCCTTTTAAGAACATCAGGAGAGGCAAAGAAGTGGGTGATGGTCAATTGTCATAGCACAATTGATACAAGAAGAAGAAGAGAAAAAAGTCGAGTAGCAGTTCTCTGGTGGCCGGTTCAAGAAGGACTGCCACTGGGAAGAAGACAAGAGGGCAAAATTTAATCATTATTTATCCACGTTTATAAAGATATTGGCTTTTAAATTTCAAGCATTGTATTAATTCAGTAATATAAAGTAAAGTCGATAATGTCCTACTGCACTCGAATTTTTCAAGCACAGGTATGTTGATTGTTATTTCATGGGCTGTAAGAAGAATGCCTTTATACCCATATCACTTGGCACTGTAGTCTATAAAGTCTATATAAAGCAATTATAGTTTATAGAAATAAACGGGCGTATTATATTTTCCGAATCGTATGATTTGACAAATATATTTTTCAACGTTCAGAGTTATCGTGTAAAGGTCAAAAAATAACTTCATATTAGCTATTTATCTTTGGCATGAGTACCTTCATAGAACGCTATAAATACATCTTGCCATGTCATTATCAGTCTTTGGATTTTTAAAATTATTTTCCCTTTATAACGCCTTTTTATTTGAATACCTACCGATCTCAAGACATTATTTATTCGTTTTTATTTTTAACTTCGAACTTGGCATGCTTCGCGATGGATTGACAGGATACGTACGCATAGAGCGAATAGTGTAATGCTTTGATTGACAAAATTTATTTTTCGATAATTTCATCGAAATTCTTGAGTTTGGAGACTTCTGCTTTTTAAGATTTGTTGGATTTTATATTTAAGTTATATAATGCCGTGCGTAATCTAATGTACGATACTTAATTTGAAGGTTATGTTTTGTCTTCTTTCTGCTTCGCAAAGAATGTACAAAGCATGCGCGTGTCAGTTATCTTCATTTTTTAAATTCTTAATCTTGATAACAAGTTTTTCTGCTCTTTTTATTGGAAGTGTTTACGATATCACATATCTCGTTAATTTCATTAAAGTTTTTACCTTGAAATGTTTATTTAAATTTAAGAAATTTTCATTACTAATTAATAATTATTTAATAATTTTCCGTTTTCATGTGACCTGCATAATTTTATTTATTTTTAAATTGCATATAATCAAGAATGTTATAAAACATCTAATAATTTTATTTAAAATGGAAGCGGCTATTATAAATTTAAGAATTTGAAAGTTCATTTGAGAACAATAAGTTTTATAAAACAATTTTAGAGTATTATACAGTATTGACAGTAGTCTTATTAAGTATTAAAAATCATTATTTTTATTTAATAATTCTTTCAATGATTGTCATGCTGTATTTGTTTAGGCTATTTTTAATTTCATAGTTTCATAATTCATACTTTGACAATTCTTATTGATTATCTTGTTTACCCGATAACTTTTACAATAATTCTATATAAGAAATTTAATTTTTCAAATAATCATTTTATGTAAAATTATTTGGAGCAAAATTTTAATATGTTTTTTCTGACATATATTCGTATTTTATATAAGTATATAAATTAATTATATAAAGATGAAATTAATCAAAAGCTTTATGATGATATTTTCCTTGCCCTAACAATATATTTCATTTGTTCGAGAAGATTGTTTTGACTATAAATTTATATTTCTGTTGTTTAGAAAGTTGCTGGCTTAGCTGCCGAAGTACAGCAAAGATGTTTCAGCATAAGTGCACTCACCTATGCTGCGTCAAAAGTAGCAATGTCAAAATTCGATAACACTAGCTATTTACCTTACGATAAACTTGAAGCGAATATCAAAATTGTAAAAAAAAGGTATTTTTATTATAATTATTTTGTTTGCATAGCTTTTACTTATTTTTTATTAAAGATATTTTATTATTATCTTGATTCAGATTATGACTAATAAATCTTTATTTGCAACTTAATGAATGATAGTCTTTTAGGATTAAATATTTATAATGTATTTACGTAAGATATAATGATCATTACTGATAATTTCAGAACTTTAATACTGTCACCATAATCTAATTATTTAATTGATAATTTATCTAGATTAAACAGACCATTAACACTCTCTGAAAAAGTTCTATATTCTCACCTGGATGAACCCGACAAGCAAGATATTACACGTGGAACGAGCTATTTACGATTGAGACCTGATCGTGTTGCTATGCAAGATGCTACAGCGCAAATGGCTATGCTTCAATTCATCAGTTCTGGTAAGTGATACCTTAGTAGGAAAATATAAACAAAATTTATGCCATTATGAATTTAGTTTATAACTTGAAAGTCTTATTGACAAATATGATGCTAAACATACAGAAGTATCATTTCATCTTTATTTAATTTTCTAGAATCGTATAATATTATAGGATACTATATGAGAATTCTTGAGTTTAATGTTATAGAATACTATATGATAATATTCTATAATACAATACCATAGAATACATTACAACAGTATTGTATAAAACTGTACAAGTCTATAGGATTAGATATTACATTTAAAATTGAACTTCTTGCAGGTTTACCAAAGGTAGCTGTACCATCAACAATTCACTGTGACCATTTAATTGAGGCAAAGTTAGGCGGCGATGAAGATCTTAAACGCGCTGTAGATGTTAACAAAGAGGTGTACAATTTCCTTAAAAGTGCTGGTGCTAAGTATGGTGTTGGTTTTTGGAATCCTGGCTCCGGAATTATTCATCAAATTATCCTTGAAAATTATGGTTTCCCTGGACTTTTAATGATTGGTACAGATTCTCATACACCTAATGGTGGTGGTTTGGGTGGTCTATGCATTGGCGTCGGTGGTGCTGATGCAGTTGACGTAATGGCTGACATTCCATGGGAACTTAAATGCCCAAAGGTAATCATTATTTATTTGCATTTTTCAACGTCTGTTTCTTTATTGTATTCAGTTTTCAGAGAAATTAACGTACGCCCCAATAAAATGAAATAAATGTTTAAATCTTTCTTATAGAGTTTCAAATGATATACAAAATATAAGTAAAATAGCTTATAATTGTTGGTTAATTTATTGATATTTTTATGAGGAAAAAATTTCGAAACAATGATTTCTATTTATATTCGAATACATTTATTTTTATCCAATTTTATAATAATCATGTGTTTACATTTTTAAATATATTTCTGTTTTTTTGCATATCTGGCTGAATGATTTTCAAATAATCAGTGACAAAATTAAAAATTGAATTATTCTACTAATAAATAGTTGTATGTTATAGGATCATGACCTATGAATAGATGTGATTATCATAGATTTATGTAACCGTGTAAATGTTATTAATAATTGTGAATATAAAAATTTTATATCGAAGGAAGGGTAATGAATATCGTTATTTTGCATTATTTTGCAAAAATTACATTAACCTTATATTATTTATATAAGAAACTTTAAACAATTTAAAAATTTTTTTTTTTTTTTTTTTTTTATATTCCTTATATATCTTCTGGGAATGATGTAATGTAAACATTTTAGTCTCTATTGCAAAATTTGATCATAATTTCTTAACTATTAAATTTGATAAAATTTAAGATAAAATATAAGAAATTAATTGACTTGTCGAAAATTATAAATACCAATAAAATAATATGTAATTATTTGATTGGAAACAACTATATTTGATCGTGTTTGAAAAGTTGTTGGATAGTATCTTGTTTTTTTTATTATTTTTAGTAGTTTAGTTTTAGTATTTTTATTTTTTATTTTTTTTTATAATGAATTTTCATATTATATATTTACTTTTTTAATGTATTTATTAATTTATATATACAATTTTCAATTGACGAATAATTTTCATTGTGATATTCAGCAAATAAAACTTTATTTAAAGGTAATTGGCGTTAAGCTTACCGGTAAATTGTCCGGATGGACAAGTCCAAAGGATATTATCCTGAAACTTGCCGGAATTCTGACGGTTAAGGGCGGAACTGGAGCCATTGTTGAATATTTTGGGCCTGGTGTCGATAGTATTAGTTGTACCGGTATGGCAACCATATGTAATATGGGTGCCGAGATCGGTGCTACCACATCCGTTTTTCCTTACAACGACCGAATGAAAGATTATCTTAATTCGACGAATCGTAACGAGATCGCCTCTGAAGCTGATAAGTTCAAGAGCAGCCTTTTAACAGCTGACCAGGATGCCAAGTATGACAAGATTGTTGAGATTGACCTCTCTACTCTTGAACCTCACGTTAATGGACCTTTTACTCCTGATCGTGCCAATCCTATTTCGAAATTGGGTGAGTAAAGTTGAACAGTGTATTTTTAGTGCAAATATTACAAAATCTGACAATTTAATGGAAAATTAAGGTGTTTAATTTGATAACGTGTCCTACATATTAGAGTTTGCAGAAAGTTAATTAAATACAATCAAGATAATATAATAGATAAGATAATTTTTGTTTAAATAACGTCGTATGTAATTGTAGGAACGATGTAGTATTAGAATTGTATAAATAGATACTTTAAAAATTGTAAAATTCTTAAGAGTAGTTTAGTATAAGAAAGCCATGTATATAATATATCTAATATATAATATATCTAATATAATATATCTAATAACGAAAAAACTTAAATTATTTAGAATTAAATATATAAAGCAATTACTTGCGTATAATTAATGATTAATGTCAATCGCTGCGACAGGTGCCGAGGCAAAGAAAAACAACTGGCCAAGCGAAATCAAAGTTGGTCTAATCGGTTCGTGTACCAACAGCTCTTACGAGGATATGGGCAGGTGTGCAAGTATTGCCAAACAGGCCATGAAACATGGTCTCAAGGCCAAATCCACGTTCATGGTTACCCCGGGTTCGGAGCAGATTCGTGCCACCATTGAGCGTGACGGAATTGTAAGTATAGTTTGTCATCCTTCTCTACAATATATAGACAGACAAGGCTAATGTGCAATTTCTGTCGGCCAAAGTAATCACTTGCCAAAAAGTTTATCGCGTAGAACTATGTATGACAAATATTATTTCGCCAAATAACTCGTATTTTGTGGAATTGTAATTCTCGACGAAATAATGAAAATCGTTTCTACAATATATACAAAAGCGTATTATATAAAATTGAGTGAATAAAATGATTAATATCTGTAAGATTAAGTTATTCAGTAAATTTAATACAAAGTCAATTTGTAACAATAATGTGTAGATTTTTTTTATGTATTTAATTACATTGCCGACAGCTCTAATCTCATAACAATTCATTGAAATAATTCAAGTGAATTTAAATATGTTTAATTAAGATTCAATATTGATGAAAAAATACTTTTTAGGATATTGAAAAAAAAAGCAAATCGAAAGCTTTAAAGTGTATTGTCTAGAAATTTAATGTTTAGAATTTCTATAGATTTTTGAGGAAAAATTTTTACAACAAACTATTTTCCTGCTTTTGAAATCTAACCAATTCATAATGGTGATATTAAAAATAACTATGACACAAAAATGTTATTTTCTTTCCATGCAATATTTATAAAAATTTGAACAAATTTTTTTATCCTTTTATCTTATCGACGACAAAAATCATCATTAAAATGTTATTAAAATTTTCAATTCTCTTTCAATAGCTAATTAAACCGTCATATTCAAAAATTTATTGTAATAAGAAATTTTTTTTACAACTTTTAGATATTTATTTAAGTATATCTAAATTTTCATATTTTAAATCTCATCTTTCTCTCTTTTAACATAGATAATACCCACAAATACCACCTAACGAATTTCTGAATAAAATGTAAAGATTTATTAAAAAAAAAAAAAAAAAAAAAAAAAAAAAAAAAAATGTAAAACCAAAAAGTGTTATGTGTTTACTGGTAATGTAGATTGAGCATATTTATTTAATCACATTATAAAAAGCCATTCTACTAACAGTTAATTTAACTCTTGTAGGCATTGTTTATCGTATCATCAGAAAAACATTACGTTTCGCGTCTCAAAAACATCAAGTACTAGGTAATGTGTATTTTTTCTTAGTTATTAAGATTTTTAAAATAATTTACTTCTTATTGTTATATTCAGGCTAAAACTCTCAGGGAATTTGGAGGTACCGTACTTGCAAATGCTTGTGGACCATGTATTGGGCAATGGAACCGTCAGGATATTAAGAAGGGAGATAAAAATACTATTGTTACATCATATAATAGAAATTTTACTGGTCGTAATGACGCAAATAATGAAACCCATGCATTTGTAACCAGTCCCGAGCTAGTTACCGCATTAGCCATTGCTGGAGACCTTAACTTTAATCCTCAGACGGACAAACTTAAGGGTCAAGATGGGAAAGAATTCCTTTTAGATAGCCCATACGGTAAATAAAGTGTAACTCTCTTTTTAATAGTAAAGCGTTATGTTATTACACTAAAGGAACTTTAAGCTTATTATATTGGATTTGTGATTCTTTTTAACGTAATTGTTCATTAAAGTTTTTAACTGAATAATAATTTTTATTATAGAAAACAGAAATGTAAGCTCAAAGTACATTAAGATGTTGTTGTAGATAATTTGGCTATTAAAATATGCAATATCCATCGTTTAGTCGTTAATTAAAATTGTTTATTCTAGGTGATGAGTTGCCATCCAATGGTTTTGATCCAGGAATGGATACGTTCGATGCACCGCCAGCCGATGGACAACAAGTTAGAGTTGATGTTGATCCAAAGTCGCAGCGTTTGCAATTGTTAGAACCATTCGATAAGTGGAATGGCAAAGATTTAACCGACTTGACTATTTTAATTAAAGTCAAAGGAAAGTGCACGACCGATCATATTTCCATGGCTGGACCATGGTTAAAGTACCGTGGACACTTGGACAATATCTCTAACAATTTGTTCATTGGGTAAATTAAAAATTGAATCGCTATACTTATTATTACAAAGTTAAGAGATTGTAATTCATAATCAGCGGTATGCCTATTGAGTACTATTATTTAAAAGTTCACAAATGTACTTCCTATTAAATGTTTTCCTCTATAGTTGCACAATTCAATTAAATCCAAATCTATTTTAGTGCCACGAACTCCGAGAACGACAAGATAAATAATGTAAAAAATCAGCTAACCGGCGAATGGGGCACGGTTCCGGACGTTGCCCGTAGTTACAAGAAGCAGAAAGTAAGGTGGGTTGCCATTGGTGATGAGAATTACGGCGAGGGTTCATCTCGGGAACATGCAGCCTTAGAGCCACGCCATCTTGGGGGTTACGCTATCATTGTTAAGAGCTTTGCACGAATCCACGAAACCAATCTGAAAAAGCAGGGTATGCTTCCGTTGACGTTCAACAATCCCGAGGATTACGACAAAATCCAGCCGTCTGATAAAATCAGTCTCCTTGGACTCAAAGAACTCACGCCCGGAAAGGTACAAGCATTGTTGCTCTATTAAATTATAGATTATTAAAACGACTTTATACTTTGACAATTACAAACTATTTTGCTTAAGTAGTTTCAATAGTTTATGTAGCATTAAAAGTCAAGGTAACAGAAGTATATTTGAACGTTAATTTTATTTCCATTCTAACTTGTATATGTCAAATTTCCGGTAAAACTTGTAGCTTTACAATAATCATGGAAATGAAACAATACAAATTATAATATTTATAAATTGTCATTAACATTTATTAACATTGTATTCAGTGTTCTTAGTTGTATTTAGAAGCAAGTTTAAATCGACGCTTTTTTTTTGGTGATACGATTTCATGTAAATAAGTAATTACGCACAATCTATTAGTTTTAATTGCAATTAATGTTTACTTAACGTACTTCTTTGCAGCCGTTAAAATGTGAGATCAAACATCAAGATGGCAAGGTAGATACCATTACTCTGAATCACACACTCAACGAACAACAAATCACGTGGTTTAAAGCCGGTTCAGCGCTCAATCGCATGAAAGAAATTGCTTCTTTATAAATCAAATCAGTGCTCCGAGATCACGTAACATAACGAAGACATTTCAAACAGTTACGTTTCGAGCTCATTAATATTAGAAGAATTGATCGCGGCAATGATTTTACGCATTGTCTTTCCTACTGATGGTTTTTCAAAATTGTTATCAAATTCATCGATTCATCAAAGGAAATGATGTACTGAATGAGCTGTTAATTAAATAATTATGTAGTTAATAATTGTAATAAGCAAAGAAATTAAGCGAATGAATAGAAAATGTTGACAAGTCAATCGGAAAATTTGTTCTTTAAATATGTACAAAGGTAATCAATTTTCAAAAAAAAAATAAAAAAAAAAAAAAAAAAATGAAATTGCCATTCATGAATTAATCAATGTATGGGAATTGTTTTAAAAGGAACGGTTTATAGCGCATCCAATAACAAAGTTCATAATAATTATTAAAATATGTAAAGAACATGAAATTTCATTTATTATTTCGGATAAACAAGAATTTTTATGAAATCTATAAAGAATAATAAATTAAATGAAATGTAAAAAATAAGACGCATGAGAACAAATTTACCTAATCACGAATTGTTAATCGAAAGTTTGTCCTTATTTCTAGATCTGAAAAATTGATAAACTCCAGATTACAAGATAGAAATGTCAATTTTCAAACTTGAGCTTATTTTTTTTTTATGTCGTTATGAATTTTACACATCGTATGTACATATTTTTTTATTAAGGGAAGCAGAACCTTTTACGTAATTATAATTAATTGTGCATTGAAAAAATTGTCGCAGTTCTTTCCAGTATATAATGTATAAATTCCGCGACTTCTTTTTTTGATTTCTATACACGTACTTGTATGTAAGCAGTTTTATCATTCTCGCACTTGCGTGCCAGTTTGCGAGTATCCATATTGTAATTGAATGACCGATCATTGTTAATATTTGCGTAAAATAAAGCCAAATAAAGGATTAACAAAATATTTTAATATTAATTATTTTTAATTCATTTCCTTAACATTTAATAATATTAGTTTTACATAATATTACAACTTAAAATAATAATTTTAAGAACGAGTAATTTTATATTAAATGTATGTTAGGTATATAAACATATAAATTATTTTTGTTATAGAAATTTACATAACTATATTAATGGTATAAAAAGTTTTTTTTTTTTTTTTTTTCGATAATATAGATTTGAAATTATTTTAATCTGAATTTAAAATTAGTAAAAAAAGCCATTTTATAATCATATTACTACATTTATTTCATGTAATATTTATAATAATATTATTATAAAGCTATAATCTATATAATTTTATGTATTTTATATTTATCTTTCTTTTACATTCAATAAAAAATTCAGTAATAGAATTTTTATACTTTTGGATAAGTTGCGTGTTACATCATACATTGCATATAGAAATTAATAGTATTGTTTTTTAATTTCAATTTACATCGATTCTTTTATAAGAATCATTGAATAATGATTATTGAATGGTATATTGAATTCCAAGCAGATTACGTGTATGTTAGAATAGAAGATAATTTTATTATATATAAAATCTATTATCTAATATTATTTATTTACTATTGTATTAAATAATTTACTATTGTATTTGTGAATATTGGAATAAATAATTTAAATTTCAACTGAGCTTGATAAGTAATGACGAAATTTAATTAAGTTTATACACTTATTCTAAGCAACTGCCGAATAAAAATAAATAAATGTACTAATTAGAACAAAAGGAAATGGTTAGTTTAAATATTTTTTTTTTATACACTCTTCTCACATATTTAAGTATTTTAAAAATTTTTAGTGTGATTTTAGTGTAATTTGAATTTTAACTAATATTTAAAAGTATCTGATATTTTATTAATATACTTTTGGTAAGTATGTTTTGTAACTACATAAATACCATAATTTATTAATATTATATTATTATTATTTTTCTTTATTTTAAATGGAAAATATAATATAGAATTTAAATATAGAATTTAATATTGAGATATGTGTTAGTAATCAAATATTATTAAATTGGGTGACTATTAATTAACCTATAATGAGCGGCAATAATATTTATTTAATAAATATAATATAAAGAAATAAAATATCAAAATGTAAAATTAAATAACTATAATCAATGAGGTAATTGAAATTATGTTTTTCATACAGAACATATATTTTTTGAATTTTAAATAACGAGAATTGTTATTGTTTTAAAACATTGTTTTAAATTTTAACGAAATCCAACTTTCAATGATAAAATATTAAATAATCACTATTAATATAAATTTATCAAATATTAATATAAACTAGTTTTCAAGAAATTCTTGAAATATGTTTAAAGTTAAAATTAATTGATTGAAATTAATTTAAATTAATATACATTGACTGTATATTTATTGGTCAAGTTTTCTAATAAGAGTCTGCATACGTTAAGTGAGCGGTGCTTTTCCGTTATCTTCATAGATAATTAAGATGTTTGTGAAATCTGTTAGAAATGTAGCCACAGACTTGATTTAATTATTTTAATTGCGTCTCGTTATAAGCAGAACATTGTCGAGCTAATGCGCGGAGTTTCTTATTTCTTCACAGATAAAACTACGAGCGCTTCAACACATCTGTTGCATTTAAGATATGACAGGTACTCGTCTACATTATCGGTAAACTTGTCGGGTATTCTTAGACGGCGGATCGATCTTTTCAGCTTTTTTACGGTTGAAGTCGTAGATACTTATTTGTGTAGTTCTTCGAATAGCATCGATAAGAGATTTCAGAGGACAAGCGGCTTGTGTTCTTAGTATTGTCTCGTATTTGTGTAAAAAGTATTCTTCGTCTGTTGGTAGCATTCATGCTTAAAGTACAATAAAAGCGTTAGATCGATAAAGATGTATAAGGATATGTTTATTATTATTTTGCACGTTATATATCTAATATTCATTGTTAGGAGGGGGACTCAGCTTGGAGGGTGCTTTTGTCTTTGTTATCGAGCAACACGACAATTTTAAAAGATGTTGTTTTGTATTGTTAAAGGATTGGATAAGCATTGTGCAGGGGGATGTGCTAGCGCGAGTCGTAAAGCGACAGAAGATTACGAGCTGTTTCATTGTTGAAAGTCTCATTTTGATAAAAAAGATCTAGGTTAAATTTATAAAGTTATATAGCTGAGAAATATGAATAATCATTACTCTCACCTCGAAATGTTCACGAAATCACAAGGTGACCCGCTGTTCTGCACCCTAACATAAAGATTAGCCGGATAACAGGATCTATGATAGTGCAGCGGAGTTTTAATGATATCTGTGGGGACCGTACGCTATTATGGCTGAATATTATCATTCGTGATGAACTTCAATGCCGAATCACCACCACTAATGTGGCCATTCTTTTTGACAAAAAAATTGCCGCGTTCAATAAAGTTTGGTAGGAGAGGAGAGGCAAAATTATTTTTCCCTGACTTGTCGGTAGTTAAAGCTTTTTCATCAAGACACTAGGCATTTTTCATACTTTTTTGATAATGTAGCGTGGGAGACATAAAGCTCCTCAGCATTAATGATGTTGTGCAATTTTGATAAGAATATTTATGGTCAACGATGAGATTCAGTAGTTTAAAAATCGTTATAGTACGTCGGAGGCAGCTGATAATATCCACGCTGTTAATAGAAGAATATATGAATAATTTTTAAGGTTTTGATGTTTGGGCACATAAGAGCCCAAAAATGTATGTACATGATTTTTTCTCTCTACATTTACCAATACCTTTCATATATTATTTATTAACATTTTTTTTTTTTAATGAATATTTCACGTGCTATTCTTAGCGCGATATTACAAAAATAGAAAAATTCTTTAATATCCGTTCGTAGAACTAAATTTACACTCGATTCATTGCAAGTTTTTTTAAACAGTCGTCCGAGTTTAGTAATATTTTAAAAATAGACTCAAAGGAAAGCAGAGATTATAAACTTTATCGTTATTATAGATAAGTACCGAAGGTTGCAAATGATATTAAATATAAATTGGTAAATTTAAGAGTTTTAAATGCGAAGAGCATTGATAAGTATCGAAATGATTTTTTTAAATGGATGAATATAATAAAAGACTAAAAGAAAAGACATCGAGTGAGGATTTTGAAAACAAAGTCTTAAAAGATAATAAGCTAATTAATGTAATGAAAAATAGATGTGAAAGATGCTGTATAATTTAACGGAATGCATAAAAAGATTCGGATATACTGGTATCTCGAAAAATACTTTTCCGTCTCTTCCATAAATACTTTTCTTACGGAAATACGTCCATTTTTCTCGTATTTACTTTGACATTTGCTTATACACGATTCAAGAAGCTAAGAAGAGAGATTTAAAAAAGTTTTTCAGAGCTTAACTAAAATAATAGTCAGAGACTTTTGTATATCATTATATTTTCAACATATGGTCAATACAATAAGATATAATTTATACGGAATTTGAATAAACATAGGATATAATATAGGAGAATATAATAATAATATATAATATTAAAGATAATCGTGTATATTTGAAAAGTTATTAAATGATTTATGAAAAAAAATCCAGTATTACGAATTTTTATTGTAAATGATGTAAAAGAAAATTTTGGTTTATGGACAATAATAATTTCGGATTCGTCATAAATGGAATTTCTAATTAATTCAAAACTACTATTTCTAGTAGTTAATATTTTTCTTCATTTGGTTAAAGATTTCATCAAATGGATTGACTTTTTAATTTATAAATTCTAACTTTGCTTTTATATTATCTCGAAAAACATTGAATTTTTATATAGATTATTTTATATGTAGATTGTCTATATTACTTATATGTATAAATAGACATCTATTTATAAATTTTAATTTAATTTTAATTTCAATTTATATATTTATTTATAGATTTTAATCAATCGGTTTCCACTTATTTCAGATTTTTCAGAGATATATTTAAATGAAATATAGCATACTATTATAAGCATTTAAGGTAAATTTCTGGAAATGAAATTGACAATTTTGTCTCCATTTTTACATTACATTGTACGTCGCCACGAGCATTACAGTACTTTTTGTCGTACAATTTCTTTTTTTTTTTGTTCAGCATCTCATTCATAATTTTAATCGCTGCAATAGTAGATGAAATTTTTTAATTTTGCAAAGAGACCTATTTGCATTTTGTATTATATGTTACAGTTGATAAAATTCGTATTTTCATATCGCTGATTCAATAGTCTTCCAAATAAGAAAGTGCAATTAACAATGAATTATCCAATCGATATAGTTTCCACTCACCATGCGCTTCATTCGAGTTCAGTTTTAACCGTCGATATGCGAGTGAGCCGACTATGAAGCACGAAGTATTAACATCAACAAAAATGTTTTCATAAGCCCCACTTTATCCATGTAGACGTCAAGCGAAGCCAGTAAGGTAACAGCACTGTTTAAGGTGGCATAGTTATAAGGGCATCTACCTTGGGAGTTTGCCCTGCATAGCTGGCCAGATGCGTGTAATTGTGTACACGTAGAAGGCGCTCGACGTCGCTATGGCGACGCCTCAGACGTAAACAGAAAAGATCTAGGGGAACTGAGGGCAGGACACGAACAGGGAGTTGTGCCGATGATCCGCCTGTTTGTCGTCGAATTGCCAAGAGGACGACGAGGATGAACGCCGAGGGCGAGTTCTTTCTCAGCGTCAGCGGCTCCATCGAGTCGGCGGACTTTTATGAGGTCAGCAACGCCTACTGCAAGTATACCTACCATTTTGGACCCGAATGGAGCGTCATCGCGGTGAGAGCTACCATGTCTTCTTGAAGTGTGCAATTGTATTTTTAGACTTTCATTGTTTTTCTGCTTTCTTTATTATTCATATCTTGCTTCTGCTATGTTTTATGATTGGACCGTTGTAATTTTTAATAAAACATAAAAAAAAAAAAATCATTGTATGTAAAAGGAGAGCATTGGAAAAGTATTGTTTGTTTCGCTACTGTACGCTTAAATTTAAAAGTATAAATTTCTACCAGCCAAATATTAACATAAATGTGTAAAATCGCGTCGCTATTTATTCTCCATTAAAATTTAAATTCAAAGGTTGAATTTATAATTGTTTAGAACCTTATAAATTTATTCGATGTTATAAACATGATTCAATTACGAAAGTAAACATAAACTATATTACTCGTACTGGATATTAAAAGATTTTACCACACAAACGTAGGTGGATAATATTTTCAACTAAATGAAATACTTTCTCAACAAAAGGGTTTCGATTCGATTTTATGGTTAAATATTCAGTTGTTATTCTAAAAATTAAACATGCAAATTTTACGCTTCTGAAAATTCAATTATATAAACATTTTGAAATTTATGAATTAGGAACAATTTTAATAATTAATTCTATTTATAATTAAAAATGTATTGCGTATTATTTTAGAAGTATCATAATCCGATTGGATAGTTTATGCATATAATTTTCATGATTTAAATTTGAAAATATGCTGGTAGCGCAGAAACGAACCATTTAGAATACTCGTAATGCAATAAAAGTTTAATTTTTTACAAAGCATATCTTAAAAAATTGATAAAAATTTCTTACATATATGTATATATATATATATATATATATGTACATACTCACACATAGTAATGTACATATATTATATAATATTAGTGATATTTTACTATTTAATTAAAACACTAAAAAATTTAAATAAATAAAATAATATTACAAAGTTATTAGTCTACTTTCAGTCCGTTGAAAATCACTTTATTTTATTATTTAAAATATTTTTGTGTCTATTATTTTTTAATACAAGAATTTTGTTATTACATTTTATATTACATATTTTTCTTTCGTTTCAATTACTAAATGTATTATAAAAATACAAAATTGAAAAATATTGAATAAAGAGAACAATTTTTTTCTTACAAAACTTACAAAATACATTTGAAAATATTAATGAACCTGTATAAAGAAATAAGCTATTTAAAAACAGGGAAGTTTTTGTTTTTTATAAATCTGATTTAACTATTTTTAATATTTGCACAATTATTTTTATTGTAGTAACTGTATACGTAGTATTATTCAAAAGAAATGTTTATTTGATTAAATGACTAGCTCGTTTAAAAGAAAATATTAATGATAGAATTCATAATATAACACTTGATATGTTAATAAATGGAAAAAATAAAATTAGCCAAAAATTAGAAATATATTTTTATATAATTCATTTCCTGATATACTTGATTTACTAATATTTGTGAAAAATGTTTGTAAAAAATTATGAAAAATTATTGTAAGCAAATTGTTTTATTTCAGGAATTTCTGTAAATAATAGTACCTTGAAATTCTGTTGAATTATCAAAATTGAATTTTAACGTTAAAATTTGCATAAAGGAAGTTTAATGAATAAAAGTTTTAATTTTAAAATAATACTAAGTAATAAAATATTATATGCACTTGTACAATAAATTCAAAAATTATATCGTAGAATATATATATATATATATATATATATATATATGCTCGTGTGCGCATGCGTGCGTATGTGCATGTGTGCGTATGTGCATGTGTGCGTATGTGCATGTGTGCGTGCGTTTGTGTGTGTGTGTGGCCGTATGGGTATGAATTGTTAAAGCTATAAAGTTATTATGATTGAATCAAAATATGTTTAATTATATTGTAGTATTTAGTTTTTATTATATATTACATGAAAGTAATTATTGTTTATATGGGAATATATTTAATAATACAATTTTAGTTATAGCTGCAATACGTAAAATAAAAATAATTTCTATATTTTTCACTAATTCGGTACTTTAATTGCGTATTTATTAATATCGTGCTAATCCGAATATGCATTAGGAATTCTGAATAAGTTTATTTAATTTTTATCGACAATTGAATATAATATATATAAAAGTAGACTTTATTATAAAAATATAGCCTCTTAAAAACGATGTAAAAACTAAATTTAATTCTTATTTTTTTCATTAACTGAAATATTTATGGAATATATGTTTACAAGTCTTGTAGGACTTGTTACCATATAAATAAGAATGTAAAACATAGTATATAATTTGAATATTAAACATTTTTTTTTTAATATTACATTAACCCTAAATATGTTGCATTAATCCCGATAATTAAATAAATATTTTAATATTCAATTACTTCGCACAATTTAGCGTTATTTTAATTCTTCACGTAAATAGCAATTTTTTCTCCTAATATAAATATTATATTAAATTGTATAATTATATAATGAAGTAACTGATAATAAGTTTCATTCATAATAATTATACTGGTAACGGAAATTACATGTTTCGAATATCAATAACTAATATTATTATTATTCTATTAGTGAATAACACTTTGTTTATATAATATTTTTTTTACTACATTTTATTCTACAATCTTTCTCTATAATCCGTAGAAATGAATTTTTTTCCAGTCTCACTATGAAAACTTACTTTGTGTTCTGAAATGTTTTGGTTTTTTCACTTGATTTATTTGGATATTTTTTTGGTATACTTAGAGTTCTACTCACATTAAAAATCTTCTTTAATCATAAGAACATTTTTTTCTTTAATTTACAGTATTTCAAATATCTTTATTTGAAAAATGCATGTTACAAGTAAACATAACGACAAATCTATATAATTAAGATGAATTGTTTTCCAACGTTATTGAATAAATTGATGAAAGTATCTGATAATTTATGGATTAAACATATTTTGATTTGAAGATTTTTTTTTGAAATACTTTATAAACAATGTTATCTTCAATGGTTAACCTTTATAAAACTACACAGAATTCAAGATAATTTCTGTATATCACTATATTCACTTAATTTATCTTTTGGATTTTAGATAATGGGAATTTGGATTTTGGAATAATTTTACTACTATTACTCAAAACAAATGGAAAATTGTTCTCCATTAAATTGAAAGGCGATCTTGAAAATTTTATTAAGAAAATTAACTATATCATGAATTTTAATAAAAATAAATACTACATATATTACACTAATTATATATTTAAATAATTTATATATTCAATATTTATTGATTCAATAGTGTCCTTTATTTATGTGAGAATGAAATTTCTATAAAATTTATTTAAGCTTTACTATCAACAAATATAAAAATGTTAGGAATTCAAAGATATAAAAAACTTTTGTTGGAAAGATGTATTTTGTTGTATTTATTAATCATTTGATAAATATATTTTATAAAAAGTATTTTTATTATAAAATTATATAAAATCTTTCGGTAAATAATGAAAAAATAATAAATTATTTTTTATTTATTTATAGGGTATTGAGGAAGGTTTGTCTCAAATGAGTAACTGCAGTAACGATGCTCGCCGTCTTGCTGTTTGGAATTTTCCACTCGACATTGCATTCAAGAGCACGAATCCTCATGGGTGTAAGGCCTTGCTTTTCCCTATCACTTTCATCCCCTCCCCCCACCCATGGCCCTAATACATACTCACGCTCACCGCAGACCGCGCTTTTTCTATAATCTGTAGAAATGATTTTTTTTTGCAATGCCTCACTATCGAAACTTACTTTGTCTTTGATTTTTTATACTTTTTCATTTTATTTGTCTCCATGCTATAGCCATCATTTCATTAATTGAGAAATTTGATCACCTACTTGAAAACAAATTTAAACTTTATAATAGAAAAGGAGGGCAGTATGTACGAAAAGTAATATCTATTTGTGAAGTGTTATATATATATATATAAATATATAAGCTAATTAAAATATTTTAGAGAAGCAAATCGAACTATTTATTTGAAAAGTTCATAAAAGTTTAACATTTTAATTTACTCTTTTAAGCTTTCTTTTCACGATTGTAATTTAATTCCTTGTTTTTTATTAAGAAAAATTATGTTTTCATGCATGCGAATAAATAAAGGATTCTATTTAGGATTAAGAAAAATAATACTTACTGTGCAACTATTATTTGAATATAATATCAATATCAAATTTATAAATACGTATAATTTATAATGTCATATATATTTTCTATTTTTCATGAAATTAATCTCACTTGTATGATGTTTCTATATATGTATATATATATATATATATATGATGGTTAATATGTTTTACTTTTATGATCTTTGAGTAATAATTAAAATACTAAATGATTATTCGAGTAAAAATGTTCGTAAATGTGAATATGATCTTCATACTTTTCTGTAATAATTATAATTAAATTCATAAAGCAAAAGGTATAAGTTGAAAATTAAAAAATTAAAAAAATTGATCAATAATAATAATCTTAAATAAAAATAAAGTACTATTATCTTAATAGAAAATTTAATATAAAATAATTTTTTTTATCTTTTATGAGTAAGTATTTTAATTACTAACTTAATTAATAAAAAAAAAAGAATAATAAATAAACAGAATAAATGTTTCTAATTTTACTTTTAATAATAAAATTAAAATCTGCTTATGGTTTAATATTAAAAGTTTAAACAGCAACCTAAATAGAATATTTTTGACTCATTTACTAAACATTTATATGCATAAAAAATCTTTGAATTTATATTATACGTGAATTTTGAACAAGTGGAATGGTAAAAGTGTAATGAAATTTTACATGTTCGAATTAAAAGTTTTTAAATTATATTTGCTTAATTTGAAAAAGTTTAAAATATCTGTGTTCGACGAAATTAGCAACTAATTTAGAAAAATTTATTATTTATATTAATAAACGAGTTTCATAAACTACTGATAAAAATTGCTTTATATTTATTAAAGTTTATGTGTTAATGTTTTATTTTGAAAAAACTTGCTCCAAAAATGCCAACATTTTTATGTAATTTATTTAAATATTCTTTAATAAAAGATAATAATTATAATTCTTAAACAGTTAAAATTCATAACTAATTATATGCAATTTTTTCATTGTTATTTCTCTTAATTATCGAGTGAGAGGATATGTCGCCTTTCCTCGTACAATAAATTTAAGATTCTTTCAAAAGAATATTTGTGTCGCGATTAAGCTGAAAGTTCCCCTCGCGATCTCACATCTCCGTAATGTTTTGTTTATCGGTGCTGGATTTCATTAGCGGACGTTTCAAGAGAAAAAGTCAAATGCGCGCGCTACCCTTCGCTGTCATACTCACGATCGGGGTAAGCGAAATAAGAGACCTTTTGCGTTTACTCCGAGGTGAGCAGATAAAGTGGAAAGTGCATTTAAGCGGGTAGCGTCCGACCCTTCTATCAACTTCTTCGGTAATTACATAATGACTGGTTAATAAACTTTTGTGGTCATTTTTCGCGATTAACAGCCGCGTGGTATATTCTGTTCAGTTCAGCATGCCTCGCGCGACGGAAACGAACGTGTAATTTATTTCATACGAACGATTATACGAAATGCAGCAATTTGCGAAGTTGTTAGATTTCGGGAATAATTTTATCATAATAATAACGTTTATCATGCTCATTTGTATTATAAATTTTAGAAAATTCGTGGTATAGATGCGCCAATTATATTAATAACTATAATCATTTGCAATTAAACTAATAATGGATTATTTTCTAAAGCTAAGTCGTTATGTTAATGTTGTAGAAATTTCGAAGTAAGTGTATGTGAAAGCGTTTTAGATTGTTCACTATTATTAACTAAATGCGTCATTATGTCAAGTTTATTTGTTTACACTGCATAACGATGTAAAAATGTATTGTTACATTATCGTTTTGTAAGACATGCTTTTTCAAATGTGATTTCAAATACTCAAATTCAATATCCAAAACCGGAAAAAATTTTCAAAATTGTGTCAAGCTTATTCGAGAACTTTACATAAAATGGCAATTTAAGATAATTACATAAGGCAATTATTAGATTTTAATTAATAAGTTAACGCAGATTGTTGTAAAATTATAGAATTCTTGTTGCAGGTATTAATTGTCTAATAACTCGTTAATCTTTACGTTAGCATTTTGATATAATTTCATACACCCTATAAATACGCGCGATTTAAATAAAAATATTCACGGCACTAATTTCCATCGCAGGCGAAAATAAAACTATTTGATCCTCGTGCATTCCGCGCTCTCCCTCTTACTCGCTCTTGCGAGTCGAGACAAACTATCCGAGCTTAGAATATAATGTTATCTTTATATTGTCCAGTGTAGAACCGATCATAAAGCAGGTTTGTAGTTGATAAAGTCAACTATAAGTCCTGAAAATTAATAGCAAAATACATGAATTTGAATAACAAAGGACGTCGAGTCGAATGATTGAGAAGCACGCAGCGATTTATCGATCGGAATGTTCATTGTTTTCACTATCAGCTTCTCATCTTTATTCTTCGCACAGTCGTACAATTACAGACATGATAAATATGAAATGGAGGGAGCGAGAGTGACAGTGTGCGTGCGTGCATGCGTGCGTGCGTGCGTGTACGAGAGCTCATGAGTGTGTGGGTGGGGCTGAGGGGAGAGGTGTCATGATAGGGCTGAAGGAAATATGGCGAATGCTAACGGGTCGAGTACTACGACGACGACGTTAATTGCAGGGCCGCAGTTGCTGCTTTCAATTTACGGATTGGACACGTTCGGGCACGACGTGATCAGGGGCTACGGCGCCTGTCGTCTGCCGTTAATTACCGGCAGGCACGAGAAACGGTAAGTCGTGCGCCACCGGGAGAAAGCATACGCTATCTCCCAGCCTCTACCCATCCTCGCCCCTACGCCCCTTGCTCATTCCGATTTACTTCCCCTGCCGCCAGAACTGCAGTTCTTCCATTCTCCTGGAGAGCTTCATGAAAATGTTAACACGACAGCTTATCTGTTCCGCGGACGCGCGTATTTATCGTATTTCGGACGACTGATACTTCGAGACGGATGCCGAAAGATAATTACTTGTAAATATTAATGACAATTTAGGGGTGATAGTACTTTTATAACGTGGGGATATTATGTTTATTTCAAAGCTTGTCGGCTGGATGCGTTGCGATAAACATTCATGCATACGCATGCGTTTTCATGAAAATTTGTATGGCTTGCTTTTATCGCAGATAAGCATGAAAGTTCCCCATTGTCGCTTGCCAATTTTTAAAGGATGTTTTAAAAAAATCATTTAAAATTTGTTTTAGCCTAGAGAGAGCCTTAGCCGAGAGAGACGAATGATCTAATAATATTATAAAACTTAATAACTAACCGATCGCCAATATGTATATTCCCTTATATGTATATAGCATGGAGTAGTTTAATATTTTACTATGATTTGTGTGAATAATTTATTTAGTGATCGCAATTGTATAGTTCGATCTTGTAGTCTTATGATTTTCGGTATGTATGCACATATTTATTGCAAATTTTTATGAGAGCTTAACGGATATTCGGTTAAATATATAATATTGTTTTTAGATAATTTTTTTCCTCTTCTTTTTTTAAGGGGGATTCATAGTTACTATAAAAATAAAATCAATGTTGTATATATGAAATTGTGCATTTATTTAAATAGTCCTTGAATATTTGAAATGTTATAGTCTAAGAAAATTAATCCTTACTTGTTCTTTCTAAGTACATTCGATTACTATTCACGTTTCACATCCGAATTTGGATGTTAAAACAAATATGTAGGGCACTGTTAATTTGTGGTATCCTATAATCCATAAATGTGATCATAAGAATACCTACTTTAAAAATATAAAAAATATCATTTTACATTTTCTCATAGAAATGTATTTTTTTATTTTTTTTTTTAAGATGACGACACAAATTCATAAAATATTCGTAGTTACAAACGATTAAATAAATAATAGCTATGTTTTGAGATTTTTTTTAAATAGCCTAGTATATTCTGCTTGACAAAGAAATTAATTTTCACAATTTCATCCAATATACTGGCAAATTTAAATCATAAACTATAGTATTAGGCTAATTTTGAGTTTATGAGCTTTCCTGGTTGCATATTATAGGTATAGAATTTATTTACTCTCCGATACCATATTATTGAATTTTAAGTCTTCGAGCTCATGTTGAATTTGCAATCTAAGCTAAAGTAGCTCTAAAATACTAAATTTAATGGAAATTCGTCTGATAACGATTTTAACTTGAAAC